TGGATGTTTAGGGGGGGAGTATTGTTAGGGATTGGGCCTAATGGAATGTTAGGAATGTTAGGAATTGGGCCTAATGGAATGTTAGGCCGTTTAGACATTTTAATCTGGGATTTGGGAAGATCGAGAACTTTCTCTTTCTTTTGGGGGGCTACGGCTCATTGGGGGCTTCGGCCATTGTTACGGAACTCTTCTTCTTCAACAAGATTTCAATTGTTTTTCTTAATACCTTGTGTGAATTTTCTGTATATCTGGAGCCTGTTCTATCATTCGACCTTACAACAAGCATAAAATGGTTTTTCACTCTGAAGAGTGTATCTTTATAGGTTACTCCCCTCAACACAAAGGCTATAAATGCCTCTCCTCTTCTGGAAAAGTATATATCTCCAAAGATGTCATATTTCATGAAACCAAATTTCCTTACTCTCTTCTTTTTCCATCCTCATCCTCTGCTTCTACTACCTCTCAGTCTCTACTTTCTGCTCTTTTAACTGTTCTTCAACCTCAATCACCTTAATCTTCCTTTGAATCCTCTCTTTCTCATTCTAATAAATCTCAATCAACTGCCTCTGAACTACACAGTTCATTCCACTCATCTTCTCCCAATTCTCATGACCTCCAAGATCAGCCTATCACTTCTCCTAATCTGTCTCTCAGTCAGTCTCCTTCCATATCCTCATCATCCTCTATTTCAACCTCTCCTTTTCCAACTAACACTCATCCTATGCAAACAAGGGCAAAGTCTGGAATTATCAAACCTAGACTAAATCCTACCTTACTGTTAGCTCATACTGAGCCTAAGTCAGTTAAGCAAGCTCTCTCATCTCCTCAGTGGTTTTCAGCTATGCAGACTGAATATGAATTGGAGAAGCCCTAAGTTTTTTTGAATTGTTATATGGTGGTGGTAGAGTTTCACTGATAGAATGCTGGGCTTTTGGGTATTGAAATTGCAATTGTCAGATCATAAATATTTTCATGGTTTCGCTGTAGTGATAATCTTCGATGTGGCAATGGCAAGGGGATTTCTTTCTTGCTTGCTTACTGGATGAAACATTGCACCATCTTGGGTCTGACTAATGAGAATGACTGGCTATTATTTTTGAATGATGTTCACATGCGTTAGAAGCACATTATTATTTCTCAAAATCTCAATTCACTGTTGGTAACCCCTTACTCTTTCACCAAGTGCTGATACGAATTTTGCTGCAATCTCTCTTAAGATAATGTTACAGAGCGCGTTCACACAAAGAGTGTCAAGTTGAAGTGAAACAATAGTAAAACAAAAACATTAAAGAAAGACCATAGAAAAGATTCTATAAAAACTGGCATGAAAAAGATACTGATTAAAATAAACCAAAAAGGAAGCCCCTGCAGGAAAACAAATTAGAAGTTAACATTAAAAGTGGCTATTCTGACTAGAACATCATGTGCAGTTTAGCACAAAGTTTGTGGTCAATATGAACAATTTGGTCCCATACTGAGTGGTTTGGATCTGGTCATGTGTGATTAGTCTTGAAATTGAGATATACTTAAAAGAAACTAACAAGTATCTCAGTTCATTGACGTCTCATGAAAATGATCCTGCTGTGTAACACATACTCTCTTTGTGTGAAAAATAGGGCCTTATCCGATTCCATTGTGTGATTATAACATCGTACATTACATGTACTTTTTCACATATACACTGAGTAGTTTTTACTGGTTGTGATTGTGCGAGATTAGAACACTAATGTGTCAGTTCCTTGTGTAAACTTAGTTAACACTAAAAATTAATGCAGACAAGCGTTTTGCGAACTAATTATTAGATGAAATACTAGAACGATCATCGTCATCTGTCTTTTCCCCTTGCACGGATGTTGATGATTGAGATAGGTTCGAAGACCATTTCTCTTCTAAAGAATGATATTGTAAAACTAGCATGCACATGATGGAACATGAGTACACGACCACTCTAAGCAAGTGCACCTGATAGAACTAACCAATCATCATCATCATTTACCCCAGTGCCGCAAAGGCTCCCACCAGCGGTGGGGTAAGGGGGGTCGGATGTACGCAGTCTTACCCCTATCCTAAAGCACAGAGACTGTTTCCGGATGACCCATGGTGAAAATCGCGTCCAAAATTGCATGGTCTGACTGCTGCTTCTTAACAAAGAAGCGCAGACAGTGAGTCATTTTGCTTTATTCCATCATATTCTCAAGCCAAAAAATAGTGAATCTTTGGCTCCATTGCAAACGATGGAAAGTGATAGAACTAACCAATGTTACAGAAAATTCACAAAGAAATATCAAGAACTGCAAACTTTATTGAAGAAGAACAGTAACAATGGCCGAAGCCCCCAAAGAGAGAGAGAGTAATCTCAATCTTCCCCGTCCCAAGACAATATGTCTAAAAACAACCTCCTTACTAACTCCCCTTTCCGAGCTATTTATACTCTTTACATTTATTGTTGTTATTATTTCTATTCTTAGTCTAATGGGCCTGATTCCTATCAATACTCCCCCCCCCCAAACATCCACTTTGTCCTCAAGGTGGGGAGATAAGAACCAGGCTTGGAATTCAGCTTCCTCCGGGTTCCTCTCCCTTCCCAGTACCTCGCTGATGGCGGTATGACGGTATCAGCAGTTCCCATACTTCTAGTCCTCTAGATGAAAAATCCTTGATCAGCCTTAGCAAAGCATTTGCCTCTGATTTCATCCTATCTGTTGAGTGAGACTTCACACTGAATAGCTCATACAGAACTTCATCCACTCTCAGGTCAGAAGAAAGTTTAAGAGAACCTGAGTCATGCGGTATTTCTCTTTCTGAATTTAAGACTTCAACAATCTCCAATTGTATTCCCCCATCATGACCCCGAAGTAACATTTGTTCCATTATACTGCACACCCTGCTGTCAACTTTAAGATTAGGCTTTTTTTCTTTGTGTAATGCACCCATCAGCTGAAAATCAGAAAGCTCCAATGCAAAATCAGAAGAAATAACAATTACCAAAGGATCATAAGTCCAACAAAAACCAGGGTTGTTCTGTCCCAGGTAATTTCCTGGCATTCCAGAAAATCTTGCCATAGAATGGAACGGATCACCATAGAGATTCTTTGAAAATTTTGTTGTATCCACAACTTCGCCTAGAGCTTGCTGGTAATTCTTAAGGGTCATTCTCTGTATTAACCTTGTGACGAATTCAAAAACATCAAGAAAGAATAGAGCTGTCTTTGCAGAGATGTCTTCCAACATGAGATAATTTCCAGGTGCTTTAAATGAATCATGTAAGTCAAGCTGGGAGTAGCCTAACATGCTCTCAACCCCTGGCTGCAATATTTTACCCAACCCTGAAGACTTTGCCCACCTTACTTGTACCCATTTGGATACCTCAGCAGGTAAAGAACCTGCTAAGTCTTTGATATTTAGAGTTACAAGTTGCGGTGAATTTCTGCCAAGGTGTTGGAAATGGCTAGGCTTGTCATCATCCTGAACCTGTGAGTGGTTTCCCCATATAATAGCAGATTCTCCTGAAATAATCTCAACCTCCTCCTCCTGAGCCTCTGTACTAGTTTCAGAAGTCATTAGGACTCTATTTCCAAATGAACATGGTTGGATAAGCGGATCAATAATAGAAACTTGGCTGGGAATGAAATCCACATCGACTACAAGACTAGGAGAAACATAGTCTGGCCATTGAATAACCTGTCTTTTCTCCTTGATTTCATCTCTATTATTCATTTGTTTGATTACAGGTTCAGTTGGTTCCATCTGGTTTTTCCTTATTGACTGGAAAAAATCTTGTGCAAGTTGAGGAACTTGTGTGCTAAGAGGAGTTCTTGGCGACCTTGATGATACCTGTTTTTCTGTCCTGCCTTTCTTCTGCCGGTGTTTAGGTGGAAAATCCCTAATCAAGTCTTCCTTTAGAGCCTTCCAACTATCTTCTCTCTTTTGATATTCCCACCACCATTGAAATCAGCCACACGCGGCTTCCCCCATCGCCTCTTCTGCAACGTTCACTTTGAATTTTTCTGCAATAGCTTGGATTCGAAAGTATCTCCATCCTATCTATCCAATCGTATACTTCATCCTCGTTGAATAGCGGTAATTCTTCCGTCTTAGAATTAGCTGAATTCCGAGAGGTGACTTTAGATGAAGAAAACGAACAGTTAAGATCCTCAGGCGAAGAAGAAGATCCTCCTCTCAATTGCGCCTTTCTTGGATGCGAACAGATGGCCGGTGATGAAGTCTGCAAATTCTCAGAAGGATTTCGCTATTGCGAACTTAAAGAAGAAGTTCGCGATTTCGTCTGGAACTCCGTATGTGATAGCGGATGATGCTTACTCCTCGATCGATCTCCCTGTCCCTTGCAAAGCTTCTGCTCTTGGTGCGAAACAAAATACTTGGAATTATCTTCTGATCCATCTGCTCTAGCGGAACTTCTCACATTTCCATGATGCGAAGAACGATGCGACGTATGTGAAGGGTGCGAATTGTTTCGCGAACGACTTTGGCCTTGCTCCGCCACTTTCGTGATCGTAGCCTGCATCATCTTAAGCATCGCCTTCATCTGTTTTTGATTTCTCTCCAATGTTTCCCTCAATCTCTTTTGATTTTCCTCCAGTTCGTTCATCCATAAATCCATCTTCGTACGCATCAATACCATCCACAGAATCTATGTTCTCTGATACCAATGATAGAACTAACCAATGTTACAGAAAATTCACAAAGAAATATCAAGAACAAGAACTGCAAACTTTAGTGAAGAAGAACAGTAACAATGGCCGAAGCCCCCAAAGAGAGAGAGTAATCTCAATCTTCCCAGTCCCAAGACAATATGTCTAAAAACAGCCTCCTTATTAACTCCCCTTTCCGAGCTATTTATACTCTCTTTACATTTATTGTTGTTATTATTTCTATTCTTAGTCTAATGGGCCTGATTCCTATCAGCACCACACTTTGTAGATCATGTTTCACTGCACATTTCACCTTATTTAAACTTTCAATGTTTTACACAAGTGCAGATGCTGTCAAGATACGGAAGCCAAAACCGTGGAAGCATTCGACCGAAATAACAAAGGATCAACTTCTAAACATGCGTGAAGAATTTTGGGACACTGCCCCACACTATGGTGGGCAGAAAGGTACCATTTTATCTTGATTAAAACTGCTGCCATTATTGTGTTTACTTCTCATAATAATTCTTTAGAGTTCAGACACATGTGCATCCTTGTGCAACACATCATTCACCTTTGGCTGGATAATAAGATTGCGAAAAGACCGTGTTTCTTGAATATCCGTGTTTTCCATGCAATGCCTTCAAATTAAACTATTTTCTTTAATACCTATAGGAGGGTAATGGTTCTATATTCCTCCTAGACTCAAAGCCGTTTCCATAAAACAAATGATACTTAAAGTGATTAGAGAGCACATGAAGTTTAATGATCTATGCCATAATTCGAAGGCATGTCCATTCTCTTTAGAGCATACTTGTTGTGGGCTATGAAGTAGTATATGGAGGGAATAGTTGTATCTCAATATATACTCCCCCGCCCCATAAAATTCTTGCCGGTTTGACTTGGATCGGAGCTTAAGAAAGTGGGAATAAGTGGAAATATATGGTTTTGGTTGAGTAAGAAAAATGTAAATAAATGTTAGCCACACAAAACTTTCCAAAAAAGGAAATGTGAAGAATGTTTTGGGATGTCCCAAAATGGCAAGTGGGTAGAACTTTATGGTACGAAGGGAGTATATATATAGAGAGAGAAAAGATCATGTGAGAAGTCTCCCTTAGGCTGAGAAGCTGCGAAGTCTAACTTATAAGCTAAAAACACGAACTTTTAACCAATAAATCATAACTTATAGACCCCTTCCAAAAAAATTACGAAAATGCCACCGCGTCAAAATAACTCCAGAAACCTGGAATTTTTTTTATTTTCGTGATTATTTTTGAAGGGGTCTATAAGTTATGATTTATTGGTTAAAAGTTCGTGTTTTTTTCTTATAAGTTAGACTTCGCAGCTTCTCATCCTAAGGGCACTTCTCACCTGATCCGCTCCCTATATATATATATATATATATATATATATATATATATTTGAGATTTAATTTAAAGTTGGAGGAATAACCAAATACAAAGTATATGATAATGTAATATTTCAATCTCCTTTTGTTTTTTAGAATGTTTCTAGAAACTAATAAAAGGTGATTGTAATGTTACATTCACATATGGTATTAATGTTTCAATTGTTATAAAATCTCAAATATATATGTCAAGATTTGCACTTAGCCTTCTTTCTCCTACCCTCACAAAGCCACTCTCCGAAAGTATCCATATTGCTGGAATGACATTATTTATGAATGGTGGAACGTTTGGCATTCACCATGTCATGAATACATATCTTTATCATGTCTATCACCTAAGAATTAAGACATGTTCATTCTAAAATGCATCATTCAAGCATTCTAAAGTTTATAGGTTTCTAGCTCAGTTGATGCTTATGTTTTCAAATTTAAGAGACTTCTTAGTCTTGATTTCATTGACCACATGTAGTTTTCTCCTAACTCCTAAGTGAGGACTTGTAGAAAAGAAATTGTGATATTGATAACAACGTAATGCAACTCGTCAAGTATTTCAAGCATTGGTGATCTGTGTTAACTACTCGGTAAGTACTCACAATGGGAGGTCGCCGATCCGATTAGCACTATGACTCAGCCGGTTCTGTTTTTCTTAGCTACTCTTTGAGTACTTGGCGAGTTTCTTAGCTCGGTGAGAATTTTGACTTGGCGAGTTACTCGGCAACCACTAAATGTTTTTTGGGTTAAATCTGAAAAGTTTAATCTACACTGGGATACTATGGAATTTATAAATAATGAATGGGTATTTTAAAATTCGAAAAGTAACATACAAGTTAGATTTAGAAGTATTTCACAGATCGACTCATACAAGTTAGATGATTGATTTTCTTGGAAACCTAGAATGTTTATGATTTTTGCTACTTCATCATTAGGATTATTATTATTTTATGTATATCTAAAAATTATAAGGCCAGTATATTACTACGTACTAGAATTTAGGGAATCTATATTTTCAAATTTAATTTAACAAAGGCCGAGCAATCATGGAGTACTTGGTCCTACTCATTACTCAGTCCTTGATCGAGTTGTTACCGAGTAGCGAATTAACTACTTAGGTGTTGTTCTGTTCGTCTTATTCTTATTACTTATTGCTTATTCTTATTTTATTCAGATCAGATCAGATCAGAAAAATTTAGATCAGATCAGATCAGAAACATTCAGATCAGATCAGAAGCATTCAGATCAGATCAGAAACATTCAGATCAGATCAGAAGCATTCAGATCAGATCAGAAACATTCATAGCAAATTGGAAACATTCTATTATTATCGATATTATTATTATTATTATTGTTATTATTGTTACTACTCTTACTACTCTTACTACTCTTACTACTCTTACTACTATTACTACCATTATTATTATTTTATTATTATTATTATTATTATTTTATTATTATTATTATTAAATAATTATAATTGTATTAATAATAGTTATTATTATTATAATTAATTTATTATAACTATTATTGATATTATTATTTATTATTATTATTATTATTATTATAATTATTATTGATATTATTATTAGTATTAATATTATTATATACCGGTTTAGAAATGTTAATATCAGATCAGAAGGATTCAGATCAGATCAGAGAGATTCAGATCAGATCAGAGAGATTCAGATCAGATCAGAAAGATTCAGATCAGATCAGATCAAAAAATTCAGATCAGATGAGATCTTAAAAAATTCAGATCAGATCAGATCTTAAAAAATTCAGATCTGAAACATCAGATCAGAGAAGAGAACACTTTCTTAGTTGGTGATGCTCCTTAAAATGTTAAGGAGGCGTATACTGATTGAAAAAGTTAAGTCGAAAAGCAAAAATTGTGTTCACTTTTTCGGTTTTCTAAATTTAGATAACAGAAAACATTTTTACTTTACCAATTTTGGTTTTGAAAGAGAAATTACTTTTCCGTTATTTGTTTTTCATAAGCACTAGAAAACATATTGTATGTTTTCCAATGCATAAAACTGCTCTAAAGTAAAAACAATCACCTATAACAACAATGACCACAGCCCATATATTGATAAACCAGTTTATCTTAAAATAAACCCCACTTTCCTTTATAGTAATGATTTTGTGGTTCACATTATTTCCCTTTTCTCTGAACAACTTTCAACCTCACAATTTTCTCTTTCCTAATGTACGTGCATTGTAAAAGGAGCTGTGAGTGAGGGAGTATGAGTTTTATGGTTGCTGAATACTGGTCGTTGTGCTCTTCTCACAATCAGCCTCGTAATAGAGCGACCTTTCTTTACCACCGTAAATGATCTCAGGCACCAATTTTCATTCTTACCCACCTGTCATGTCTCTAGGTAACACCAACACAATTCCTACGAGAATTACAACCATTAGTGTCATATCAACCATTGGTATTGTGTTAAGGGCAGACGTACAAGACCTCGTCCACGGACGAGAATGAGAGACTGGCAATGAACGATAGTTATGAGAAGTATGTAATTTAGAATCTATGGTGAACTTATTAACTGGAGGAATTAAAAGAAAGGCTTAATGGAATTAATTTGATCTTGGAAGTATTCCAGAGATCCAAGAATTAATTCTCCAAAGCTGTTTATTGAATAAAAATGGCGACCTTTATATAGCTATTACAAGAGTCCCAACTAAAAGGAAATAAATGTTAATTAAGAAGTTGTCTAAAGCAAAATAGGAAATAAATGATAATTAAGAAGTTGCCTAAAGCAGAATAGGAATAATTATAATAATAATAATTATAATAATAATAATAATAATAATAACAATAATAATCCACTTTGGGCTCCGGATTCATCCTTCGTGATCATCTGACTTCTACATTGATATGTACGACCATAGAATTGGTGTGTAACATCACTCCCCTCCTTGAGAAAGAGCTTGCTGTCAAGCTCAAAACCGGGAATTCTCGTCTGGAATGAGTCCAAGGGCTCCTAGGTTGCCTCATCCAGTTGGTGCTCCTATCAATTTACTAAGAGCTCCCAACATCCTTGAATAAGTCAGACTCTGGATTATTGCTAGGGGAACTTTGGCGCTAAGACTGCTAAGAACTGTAGGAAAAGTGCCCATTGTATTTGGAGGATGCTATTTGTGGGGCTTGAGAAGGGAGACATGGAAGACATTGTGTATACAAGCATCGGTAGGTAATTTAAGCTTGTTGCACTGTTGCCAATGCGTTCAAACACTTGAAATGGACCAAAACATTTCTGTAATAGTTTGTGATTTCTTTGACCGAACGAGAGCTGGCGATATGGCCAGAGGCGGAGCTAGACCCAAGCATCGGGTCAAAGGATAAGTCTTGGTGACTTTTATCAAATTGATCTTTCATGCATTGTTGGGCTTGTGCTACTGACACAACGTAAGAACAATCCTGTGGTACGGTTGACTACCTCCGTTTGGCCATCTATCTGCGGGTGATTAGGTGATGAGTAGCAAGCTTGGTTCCTGATAATCTGAATAGTTTGCGCCAAAATGTGCTTACAAAGATTTTATCCAGGTCAGAAACAATGGCTTCAGGCAGACCATGAAGACGAAATATTCAGCAAAGAGAACTCCTGTGACTGAAACAACAATTTAAGGGTGAGACAATGGGATAAATTTTGCTACTTTAGAGAGTTTGTTCACAACCACAAAGATAACAGATTTTCTACAAACTTTTGGTAAACCCTCCACAAGTTCTTGGGATATATCAACCCATATATGATGTGGAATTGGAAGAGGCTGAAGTAATCCAACTGGTTGTAATATCAGCCATTTGTGACATGTTTCACAGTGCGAACAAAGGCTGTCACTCCCGTTTTTATGCCGCTCCAACAAAACTCTCGCTGAAGCCGTGGCAAAGCCTTTTTCACACGCCCATGAGCCATAATATGAAAAATCGAGAGCAAAGTTGGAATGATTGCAAATGCATCTAGATTTCAATTCTGAAATGAACTAGGCCATCTCGAATCTCCCAATCCGATCCACGTTTGCCAATTATGAGTTCGCCAATGATAGGAGATGCTACTTGTTCTGCACGTATCTCACGAAGTAAGTCATTGTAAGGAGCACAGAGGGCTGCCAACCTGATTTCGTCTTCATTTTTGTCAAGTTAGAGCATCCGCGACACTGTTTAGGCGGTCAGGCTTGTATTCCACCTGAAAATACAAACCATTTATTTACTCAACCAATGCTGTTATGGGGAAGTGGTTAATCGCTAATCCAATAAATGCTTCAAACTGGAGTGATATGTCAGAACTGATATTTTGGATCCTCATAAATAAGGTCCTCAATGAGCCACCTTGGCTAAGCCAATCAACCCCTTTTCACTGGCTGCGAGCTTAAGATGTCTATCAACAATTTTTTGACTAAAGTAGGCAATAAGATGACCTTCCTGGTGTAAAACCGCTCCAAAGTTTGAACCCGAAGCATCGCATTTCACAATGAATGCTTTATCAAAATTTGACAATTGGAGTACCGAGGCAAGGATAGTCATCTCTTAAGTGTCTCAAATGCTTGGGTTGCTTTGTGTGTCCATTTGAAGGAACTTTTTCTTAGCATTTGCGTGAGAGGTCCTGCAATTTCGCCATAGTGTTCAATAAACTTTCTGGAATAGCCGACCATCCATAAGAACTTTCTGAAAATTATTTTTAAAAAAAATATATTGTTCAATTCATCTCATTACAAATTTCCAAAATCTGATTTTTAATATATTTTTTACTAATACAATTAAGATATAATTACGGTCAAAGACGTGCGTTGGCAAATGTGAAATGTTGACCGTTGCAACTAAAAAAGAATGGAGGGAGTATATAGTATATTCATCTTATCCTTTTTATTCTTACTTTTTTATGTATAACCCATCTCTTTTTACACCATCTTCTTTTATCATAGTTTATCTTTTTTATCTTTCTAATCTTTCTTTTCTTTTTTATTCCGATATCATGTTAGCTGACCCCAAAGTCTTTTAGGACATGTTGTTGTTGTTGTTGTTCTTAGATAGTATAATAGAGAAAAAAGACATGGAGAATTGTAAAACGAAAACAACCTGAAAAGAGAAAATAAAGCCTATAACCCGCTTGTTTCCTTTCATTTTCACTGTTTGTGCATAATCTCATTTTGGTCAATATTTGGAATACAAGTTAGTGATTGCAGTGCAACTATGGATGAGAGATCGTTAGTGGTTAATGCTAATTGAAACAGCCCGTAAGGGTGTGAAGCCATGCATACCATTTGGTATGATTTTTTTTAACAGCAGAAGTTAGATGGATTTGGTTTTCATTGATAGTTTCATGAATCTTATATGTTGATTGATGACACTGAATGGCAAGCTTGCACTATATGAGAACTTGGCTGTGTAAAAAAAAGTCATACTTTGTGTTTTCAGACTAAAAAGACAAGTGGGAAGTTTCTTTGAATCACTCTATTTGTGCTTTACATATGTTAAGTAATTCTCCAGCAACTTTTGGTATGAACTGAGAGATTTTATTTTTCAAGTGGCAAGTTCGCTACTTTTCTTTTTAGTATGTGTTGATTGTGTTCATATTTGTACTCCAAGACATTAATAACATGTTTTAACAATCTTGCAAGAAATCTGGAATGCTCTCCAGGCTGCAACTGAGGCAACGGATATTACCCTTGCGCGAACTATTGTGAACAGTGCTGGCATTATTGTCCACTCCCCTGACATGACGATATGCTATGATGAGAGAGGTTCCAAAATTGATTTCTAACATCCTTTTTGCATTTATGTGTACGTCTACCTATAATGCAAGGAAACTCGGGGGCTATGCATGGATCCATAAAAGATCTTGGGAAAGTAAAAATAGTGCCAACGGAAGTTGTTTTTGTTTATTTAGTTTTATTTAGTTGGGGTGCAGGCCCGGTACCGGCCCAGGCCCGGGCCGGGTTGGGTCAAGTTTTTTTTTTAAATTTGTTTAAAATGGAAAAAATAAAAAAAGGCCCGGACCGGTCCCGGACCGGCCGGTCCGGTCCACCTTTTCAGCACCCTGAAGCCCGCCCATAATACCCCCCGGTTCAGGCCCCAGTCCCGGTGGGCCGGTCCGGTCCCACACAGTAGCGGGCCAGGCCGAGCCGAACCGGCCCAGTCCATGCCTACTTGAACAGATATCAAGAAGAAATTATTTGAGTTTGGACCAACAATTTATTCCCCACCCAGTCCATCTCCAAGCATATCCTTACCTTCCAAAATCTCCCTATTCTTAATCCCCATTTTTTCCCTATCATTTTCTAAGTTCCAAGTTGATCCTTAGAAGTTAACATTCGTAAGTTTCAGGAATCTGGTTTGCCACTACTTGTCTTTGCCATTTTTTCTCCATCCAAAATTGATTATTCCCATGGGGTTCCTAATTTAAATTTGTCTCTGCAACCAGAAACTGAGTCTAACAGGGAATTGTCTTATATATATATATATATATTACAGGTGCCAAGTATGAGTTACCGAAGTACGTTTTGAGTGAACCAACGAACTTGAAAGGTGAAAAGACATAGCTGAAGAAGAGAGATAAGTTTGGTGATGCTTGAGGTGGTGTATGCGCGTGTGTGTATGTAAAAATGGAATGTAGTCCTGTAATTCGTTTTTGGTGTTTCTGATGTTATCAACTATGATTTGAATATAGCAATTCTACTTTTGTGTAATGTTTGATGGTAGTATCTGGTGGCTACACCAACCCATATCTTGCCCAATATACTTGATGAAAAAGAAAATGATATTAGTACCAACTATGTGCACCAACTTTTTGAATACATGGGTTGGACTGTGTTGGACGATTGTCCCTGAAGAAATACTTAAAACTTTGAGAAAGTGTTTCAATTAATGTTTGTGTAATTTGTGTACCACTCGCATCTATTTTTCTTTTTAATAAAGATGTCAAATGTCTGACTGTACAAAAATCATTTTGTGCATAAACATAGTTATTTATTCATAGACATTGCTTGTCTATGATTGATAAAAATGACTTGAGACATACATTTTTATCTGTATCAGGCACATTGTCTGTAAAACTGGATTTAGTAGTGGAGGTCGGGACTTAAGGAATTTATATAGCAGGGGCTAAAGCTTAAATTTTCACTATATTTTTTACTACTTATAAATATTTATACATATGTTATACGCGATGATTTTTTTTTTTGCAGGGGCAAAGGCCCTCGCCGGCCTCCCCCTGTCTCCACCCCTGTTGCCTGAGCATTTCCTTGCCGGCCTTCCGCAATTTTACATACTCCGTTGGACTGTTTTAGTGCTGCTACTCGCAAGGTTTTCAAAGACCAGACTTCAGGAGATGATGGCAGCTGTGGGCATAGGGAATCTAAGGATGGGGTGTAGGAGGGGAACACGGTAATGGAAGCACCAGGATGGGTTAATTATGCATTTAGGCATACCCAACACTTTGGCATCACCAAGATGAAGTAAGGCATCGAAGCCATTCTAATATTGTTTGGCCATTGTAAAGTTAGAGAAGGGCTTGTGGATTGGGATCTCGCAGATTGGGCCTCGACGGCTAGGGAAGTGGAAGATTTATTTGAGCAGATCAACATTTGAATCGGTGGATTGTGTAGAATAGGGATTGTTCCGGTCATCGATTGGGAGCTTGACATCAACATGTATATGATTTCCTCCCTTGGGATCATGAGTGAGAGAATTGGGCGTTTTAGCGGCGCTTTGATAATTGGAGTGTTGACAATGGATATAGAACTATAGAAGTCTCAAATTACTTGCCAAATATTGCATCATTCCAGTTTCAAAGGTCTTTTTAAGCCTCTGGAGTTTGCAGAAGATCCATGTCATTCCACCGCCACGTTTGAGAAAGGTAGATGAGACAACCACAATACCACATATTCAGAAATATGAATTGCTTAGTCCCTCGTTGTTTGACAGAGAATATCTCATCAGGATGTGGTAGTGATCCAATGTTTGTCAAGATCTATCGTTGTTGTGAACACCATGCCAAGTGTATTGGTTCACATGAAGCTATAAGGTGGGGAAGTCCCTGATTTCATGAAAGCTATTAAGTGCTCTTAGTGTATAACTATTAAGCTGCAAGGTTAGTATTCAAAATAGGGTGTTTAGTTGCAATTTTTTTCTAGAAACTTGAATGAAGCTTCCCTTAGCTTTTTTGACAGAATCCTCATTATTAGCTAGTTATGTGTGTGTGCGTGTGTGTATATATATACGTGTGCCCAAAGATATACATATATCGCCTTAATGTGAAATCAGCATGGCGCGTATTGAGTTTGATATAGTTGGGCCCTCCACTTTTGCGATACGTTAGAGAAATGAAATAGAAGACAATTAGTTTATTAGTATTAAAGGTGTTATTTATTCAAACAAACAACCTAGTCTGGAATTGCACGAACTTAAAAATATAACATTTACTTTTTTATGATTTATAGGCTATAAATCTATACATCAACTCACATAACGCAAGTTTGAGAGTCGGCCGACTCTAAACCCTAAGAGACGACCCAACTTCTCTCCAATCGGAGGCCAAGAGCGATGATTGGTAATCACCATTAATATCTTTAACATCTTTCCTTGGAGAATAAAGTAAGGGGTTCTACTGTGCTTCCAGTGCTATTTGATTTCCACCTTGATGAATTAGTTTTGGTCTGACTTCTTCTTTAGTCGAGATTTTTGTCCGCTTCAAGTGAGCGTGAAATATGTTCTTGTCCTAGCAATGTCTAGAGGCTGTGTATTCTTCGTCGGTGTAACCGATCGGGTGGTGAATTTTTGTTGTGCATGTGTGGCAAGGTTTGTTGAACCTTGTTTTTCTGAGCCTTCAAGTATTCGCCCTCCTCTTGAACCATCGCCTCACTCAAAGAAAAAGATAGTGTTGAATTGGATCTCCTTTTCGGTGACTGGTCAAACTGATGATCCATACAATTTCTGTTCAATTGAGTTTGCATTGTTGGTTGCTGGTCAAACCAATTCTCTCTTTTCGGTGACTGGTGAAGCCGGATCTTTGAGTTGTATTTTTTTTTTAATTTCTCTTTGGAGTAACAAGAAGAGCAGCAAGACTGTTAGACTAGACTACATTATTGCGGGGTTAGCGAACCGGAAGGAATCTTTTCTATTCTATGTCTCATCCCATTCTAGCCTTAAGCTATTCATTCTTGTGTATCTTTGCTATCATTTAATAGTAAATTAGTTATTTGATTTTAAAATAAGCCATAAATCTACCAAATTCAGACGATTGGTTAAGTTTTGATGACATCACCAAATTACTAAGCTTTATTATTAATTTTTACACAGATTATTAAATATTTAAATTAAACATGCTCAAAGGTAGTTCTCTAAATAATCCGCTTTCATACTCAATTGAAAGGTAGTTATCTTAATATGATTTTCTAGTCTTTTTATTCAAGTCTTTATTTCTTAAATCAATGTTGATTAGTTCCTAATCTTACACATGTTTCTTATGATAATTCTAATATATTCATCATAGAAATCACATATGTTACTTATTCTTTACGTAATTAGAAGTTGTTCAATATAGAATTAAAACATGATTAAATTTTAAAATAGGACTAAGTATGTTTTATTATTCAAATTTGACTTATTTGTTTTATTAAAGAAATAAGTTGATTAAAACTTTCCCAAATTGGAGTGAATGAGTCATATCTTGAGAATATAATCATGATTTTCCTACTTTTTTTGCTAAACTTTCTGATCTCTTGTAGTATTTGTTCAATGTTAATGCAATCATCATCTGAGATGAATTTCGAACATGTGACATACTCCTAAGGAGTGTCACAATGATGACACCGAAACACAAAATGCTTGGCATGATTTTTCTATTTATGAATTTCTTAATTGTTTTAGTCTTACTTAGGGAGTCATCTCTTACATAATATACCAAATTGATAACCATATTATAATGCACGGGAACACCGAAATCAAAAAGTGTAGCTAAATCAAAACTTTGTATAATATGAAGATAAAGATATGCTGAAAATAAGAATTACAAAATCGTCACTTACCTTGCTACATTATATTATACTTCCTCCCCCGCCCTTATTTAAAGTTTCCGCTTTGAGTAGCTCACATTTTTAGAAAATGACTTTTGCTCTTTGAAACAATCCTAAACTCTAAACCGTAAATCTTCAATCATAAAAAAACAATCCTAATACTTATGATGTTTTTACTTGAATTTAAATTTTTTAATTTGATCTGCTTTATCTAGTCTGGTCTGTTTAAGTCGGGTCTGGCTTGAGACTGAAATAGATCCAAGTAAGAACATCCTATTTAGCATGCGCGAGACTTTCTATTTTCTGTTTTTACACTAAGAGTCCGTTTGATGACCCTTTTTCGGCTTATTAGGTTTATCATCCAACTTTTCACCAAACGCGTAATATTTGATTTCGCGCGCTGGATTTTGTAATAATAAGAAAAAATAAGGTTGAAGTTACTTGTGACTGTATTTGCTGAAGTTACCGTAAATGATCTTTTTAGCTATTTTTTATATAATCTTTTATTACTTTATTATTAAACAATATTTTAATTTTTTTCATAAATCAGTAGAATCAACCAATACAACTACTTCAGTCAGTACTTCATAAATTTAAGTAGAATCACCCGATTCAGCCAATTTGAGTGTTACCAAACGAGATCTAAATATTTTTATAAACCTATTTGTCTAGTCCATATCAGACTTAGATAATAATAAAATAAACATAAAAAGGTATTTACCAAACCAATTAAGGCTAGACTAGACTAAAGTTAAACATATTAAATCAAACTAAATTTGAATGGGCTAGATAAGCCTAAGAGTGTAACACCCCGCCCCGTAGGACCCAAGGTAATTACTCCTACACACCCTCCGGATCTCTAGTATTATCCTCACAAACCTCCACTAGCCTTTAACGCGCACTTTATCATCATTCGTGCGCGCCCTGAGAAACTTCCCGGGGGTCACCCATCCCAAGACTACTCACATGCAAGCACATTTAACTTGTTGGTATGAGCTCCCTTACAAGGAGATGCATCTTGTTGGTATGAGTAGTACTATTAATCCGTTTAAATTAAATCTCAAGTGTTACAAAGAGTCCGTTTGGTGACTATATTTTTAGGATTATCAGTTTTATCAAACAATTTTTCGCGCGTTGAATCGTGTAATTATCAAAATAAGAAAGGTTATAATTACTTATCTAATTGAATTGGTTGAACTTATTGTATCTATTTCTCATATAATTTTTTATTTTTATTTTATTAATAAATTTATGGGTTATTTAGCCTTTGCATCCTCTTTTATACCCTTAATTAGCCTTTGCACCCTAATTCGAAAATTGTTAGTATCTACACCCTCTATCCGTTAGTTATCGGTCAATAGGTAAACAGAGGTGTAAAATGACACCAATGCCCTGATGAAACTAACTTTCACAATCGTTCGCAGACTTCTTTTTCAAAGAGCGTCAATTTGAATGTCCTCCCAATTGGCTTGGTGCGAGTGAATTAGGGTTGGGATGAACGAAGGAAATAGAATGGAAGATGGTGACAACGTATGGGTGGATTCAGGAGTACCTATACAGCGTGGTGTGCAAAGGATTCAGAGGACATCAAAGCTTCCTGTGAATAGAAAGATGGATTCTTTACCGGCTCCAAGTAAGTTGAATGATGCTTAGTTTGTCATATTTGATTATGAAGATTCTTTTATGAAGAGTATGTTATATTCAGTTTGTGATACATATTTTTTAATTTTTTATTATTAAGATGGGTTATTTGAATGATTTGAGTTAGGGTACCATTCTATGAATCTAGCATAGATGAAAGAACAAATAATGATGGTTTTGGTTATATATTCATTGAATTACCTCCACTAAACAACTCTCTGAATGTGCCAAATGTAG